AAACAGGGCAAAAGCAAGGAAGGCATGGACAACGAAGTGAGAGCACATAACTAATATAATCAGGCTTACAAAAAAAACAATTGCAGCATCAAAATGTGGAAGTTCCCTTGGATCTGCCTGTGGACACACAGCTGAAAAACTTCCTTTCTCAAGAACTTTCCCTATTAAAAACACTGAACAAAACTGGAAACTTAGTCCAAGCAAAGTGCGGAATATGCACAGTATACATACAAGTGTCCGATTAAATATCAATCAAAGAAAAACACATAAAATTTATGATAAGACCAGAAAAACCACATTTCATGTAGGGTCTTTAAGAAAATACAATAATAGGCATAATACCACATTTCAAGTCCAAGAAACTGAATTAAATAGTAACTACTTAGAATTGTGATTTCCTAATTTTGTTTTTTAAGCATTCTAGCTTACACCTTTTAAGCAATCTTACCCAGAAGAGGCAAACAACAAAGACTGTTATTACATGTATAACAAAAATCTTGTTTATCTAAAATTTTCTAAGATGCCTAAAGGTGCACATTTAGTAAATTATGTGCAATGGTAAAATAGTCAGTGACATTTCCCTGAAAAGTAAAGTTCCTTCTCTGTAGAAATTTCACTTAGGTCTCCTCTCCATTAACAAAATATCTTTTTTGTTTAAAAAAAATACCATCACTAAAATATGTATTACTAAAGCCACACATTCTTGCATATAAACTATTCTGCCCTCCCAACCAGATAAGTTCACTGAAGAAAACAGTCACGTCTTATGTTTTCTGATCCTCTCTGTAGCACCAATGGCATTTTACAAAGGCATAGAATTTAACAAAGGAATTGAAATTGACCTATTTCAATTTTCCTTTTCCAAAATATAATGCAGAGTTCAGATGGTTTTTAAAAAAACTGCTGAATCTATCTGATAAGAAATCCATAGTTTGGACACTCCAACTGCTACTAGAACAACTGGGTAAACGAAAAGAATCGCCCTAGTACATGCCAATTGGTATCTATGTTGTTTAAAAACAAATAATTTGGGGTAACTGGGTGGCTCAGTCGGTTAAGCGGCTGCCTTTGGCTCAGATGTCCTGGGATCGAACCCCACATCGGGCTCCTTCCTCAGCAGGGAGTCTGCTTCTTCCTCTCCCTCTGCCTGCCGCTCCCCCTGCTTGTGCTCTCCTCTCTCTATCTCTATCAAATAAATAAATAAAATCTTTAAAAAAAAAAAAAACAAATAATTCATCAGAGGGAGAACTGAAGATATTAAGGGCTCTAGCTAAAACATTTCCAAATCTTTGACAGTCTATCAGAAAGAATTTAACTCCCACAGAAAGTTACCTGAAAGTCTTCATTTGAAATAAAATTAAAAGAAATAGAGCCACTTTTTGTTTGTGAAACAAAGTTCAGCAAGTGTCAATTTCCATTAGAATATACCCATTACTCAAGCCCACAGAACTCTGAAAGTCAAAGTGCATAATATTAACACTGCACATTTTTCTGAACTACACACCATGATGTCTTTCCTTTTGGGTGTACTGGCTCTGCTCCAGTGTGTCCCAGTTATGTCCTTCGATGGGTTCTTCCATGGAATTAAACAGTGTAGGAGTAAATGACAAAACACAAATTGCAAGCATATTAAAGTTAAATTCATTAAAATTATATCAAGGGTATTGATAATTAAAGAGGAACTAATATACACAACAGTAAAAATCTGCACCAATAAGAAATTGCAATGTACCCCTACTACTCTGGTTCAAGATGGACTCAATTTTCTAATTTTGGACCTCTACCTTATAGTCTTCTCAAATTTCAATATAAAAAGCAGTGACAAGGCATTTTTAAGATGTTTTTCAAAGGCAGATTGTTGTTGTTGTTGTCTTTTTAAGATTTTATTTATGTATTTGACAGAGAGAGAGAGAGAAACAGCATGAGAGGGGAGAGGGTCAGAGGGAGAAGCAGGCTCCCCGCTGAGCTGGGAGCCTGATGTGGGACTCGATCCAGGACTCCGGGACCATGACCCAAGCCGAAGGCAGTCACCCAACCAACTGAGCCGCCCAGGCACCCAAGGCAGATTGTTTTTTAAAGAAACAGACTGTTTAAATTCTAAGCTCAGGGCTTTGATTTCTTCCTCCTTCCCCCAAACCTATCATTCACAGTCTTGAACTATCTTTGTTCTTTTTATTTTTTATAGAATGTCTATAACATGGACACCATTTCCAGCCCAAATACCTTCTGGCAGGTCATCTTTCAAGAAAGTATTAACTGAAGTTAATTGGATAAAAAAAGATTAAAGTCCTAAGAATACGGCAGAAAACCTTAAATACATCTGCCTCACATCCAGGTACTGCTTATGTTCACACATCAAATACAAGGTCTAAAGTGTCAGACCTTTTTAATATACAGCTCATACGTTTTAAAAAATAACTGACAAAGAAATACCAAAACTCCCAAATTATATAGCAAATCCCCATAAAGTTTAGGTCAGTGTTTAGGCCATCACATTTATTTTTAAAAGAGAACAAAAGCTGTCTACATATTCAGCTTAATGTATGTGGTAGTTATTTTTTACTTTTTTAAACTTTTATTTAAAGATTTTATTTACTCGTCAGAGAGATCAAGAGGGGCGCCTGGGTGGCTCAGTCGGTAAGCGTCTGCCTTCGACTCAGGTCATCATCCCAGGGTCCTGGGATCGAGCCCCACGTTGGGCTCCCTGCTCCACGGGAAGTCTGCTTCTCCCTCTCCCATTCCCCCTGCTTGTGTTCCCTCTCTGGCTGTCTCTCTCTCAAATAAATAAAAATCTTTTAAAAGAAAGAGAGAGACAGAGAGAGCACAAGCAGGGGGAGTGGCAGGCAGAGGGAGCAGCAGGCTCTCCGCTAAGCAGGGAGCCCAACGCGGAACTCGATCCCAGGACTCCAGGATCATGACCTGAGCCGAAGGCAGACGCTTAACCAATTGAGCCACCCAGGTGTCCTGTGGTAGTTATTTTTTTTAAAAAGTAAATAATCTGGGGGCTCCTAGCTGGCTCAGTTAGTAGAGAATGCGACTCTTGTGAGCCACCCAGGTGACCCCCCCAATTATATTTCTTTTAAACAATGTTATCAGTGAGCTTTCAGACTTATTTCCAGGAAATCTAACTACTTAAAATGTGCTGGGTATACACTCGTACACAATAATGTACTAGAGTCTCCTCTAGGGTGTAAAATTTTTATTAATCTTCATGTTCACACTCAGATTTTTTAAAATACTGTGAGCTTTACTCTTTACCACAGTAGCAAATTTTCACACTTACCACAGTGAAATAAAATGCTGTGAGAGTTCTAGTTTTATCTTAAATTTATTTAATGATATAATTTCCATAAAAAGAAAATCATCATCATTACTTTAGACACTCATGGTAACCAATTCCTTATTAGCTTAATTGCAGGTTTAATTTCTCTTGTGCTTGTTTGCAGATTTGTTTTAGAGGATCCTAAATTAGGGGTGCCTGGGTGGCTCAGTCAGTTAAGCATCTGCCTTTGGCTCAGGTCATGATCCCGGAGTCCCAGGATTGAACCCCGCGTCAGGCTCCCCGCTCAGCGGGAAGTCTGCTTCTCCCTTTCCCTCTGCTCCTCCCCCCTTGCTCGCTCTCTCATGTGCACACACACTCTCTCTCAAATAAACAAATAAAAATCTTTTTAAAAAATGATAAAAAAAGTTTCTTAAATTAGGTCAAACTTGGATTGTTTTACTGTTCGGTTAAACTAATATCAATATATAATCAAGTTTCCCTGAGACCACATAGAAAATTATAAATAACCAGCTTGATAACTGTGTGAAACTTCACACTATGAACATTATAATGAAAAGCAAAGGAAAAAGCCAGAAATTTTTTAAAAATGAGGAGAGATTGTTTTCAAACTCTCAACACTCAACTTTCAAGCTTTTATTGACTAACTCCCTGTATGATGTTTAAAGAGAAAAAAATCTCCAGGGAGAAGCAGGATGAATTTATTATCTTAAAAAATGTTTCTCCTGTAAAATCATTCTTAAGTTGCTGATTAGGTTGCTGTGAAGGCTTGTTAATATTCTTATAAATCTAAAGTTTTGCAATTAACTAAAATATTTATGATTCAAAGTGTACTGACTTCTGTAAAAAGACAAAGATTACATTCACCAGTAAGAAATATGACTAGAGTAAAGGACTATTTCAGAGTACAAACACATCTGTAACTCATATACCAAACACACTTGGTTTCTTGTATTACACAAGACAGAAAGAAAACTAGACTTAGGGAAAGTTAACCAATATAGACCGCAACATGAAAGATCATTTTACTGATGAAAAATCTAGATATACACATAATAATATTGTCAATGCAAAATTAAACGAATTGCTTTAAGGTTTAAAGCACAATTCTTTAAAAAGAGATCAGTGTCTTGGCACAATATACAAGACTTTAATGAACGAAGTCTCATTTACCTTGATTTACAGCAATGCATGCTAAAAAGCCAAGGCATACTACAAAATGTTAATCAAAATGTTGAGGTTTGGTAATTACTATAAATATGATAAGCAGGGAATTTTTCAAATCAGTAGCTCAATTTTTCCATGTAATAAAACTAGAATTAGTCAACCAAGCCCCAAAGCTATTACCCATTTAATAAATTATTTAAAAAAATAGGAAAGTAGGAAAATCTGAAAGTTGAACCACACAGATGTCATTCCATAAAAATCAATCTTCTTATTTTGCGATACTTTTCCAAAATCAAAGGTCCTTTTATACAAAAAGTAATACATATGTTAATAGTTTAAAATATTCATGATTGTAGAATTGATTTATATTGATTATAGCAATAATTTAAGAGAAAGATCACTTTCCAATGAAAGGACTTTGCCAATTTTTTTTTTTTTTTTTTTTTTAAGGCAAAGGAATATGAACACTGTCAGATTGTTCAGGCAATAATGCTGCAGAAAGCTCAAACATATAAGCTTTGCTATCATGGTGCAAACAACTTAAATTACCAACCCTGTGACTGCCAAGACTTCGAATGGACAATGCATCCTCAACTCCCTGATAAGAACAAAAACAAACATAGCATAAGTTTGTGGGTGACTGCATGAAGTTAAAAAGGGGCAAGTAGGGGCAAGTTTATTGGTTATTACAAACCAGATAAGGTCGATGATGACTGGAATACCTGGCCCTTTCTGAATCTTCCTGGGAAAGGAGAAAGTACATGGAGCGTTAATCACCAAACAGAGGGTTGTCTATCAGAAGAACTGCGCAAACAACTATCAGTTAGGAGCACAGCAGCACCTTCCTTATAGCAAGCAGGTGTGGACAACTCAGCTTCTAAAGTTGGTTCTGGGGCAGCCACATATTTCAGGTGGAAAGAAAGTAGCAATAATAATTTTGTGTATGTGTGTCTGACCACTTGTAGAATGTAATCTATAAACGACCAAGAGAGCTCAATATACCAAGATAAAAATAAGCAAGTATACTTAACAAACAGAAATTGAGTTCAGCATTAAGGGGCGCCTGGGTGGCTCAGTCGTTAAGCATCTGCCTTCGGCTCAGGTCATGATCCCAGGGTTCTGGGATCGAGCCCCACATTGGGCTCCCTGCTCTGCTGGTAGCCTGCTTCTCCCTCTCCCACTCCCCGTGCTTGTGTTCCCTCTCTCACTGTCTCTCTCTCTCTGTCAAATAAATAAATAAAATCTTTAAAAAAAAAAAGTAGACTTTTATCTATTCTTTTTTCATTGTGAATGTTCATTTATGCAAGGCAGGAAGAAATGTTTATTACAAAGATAGTTTAAGAACTTAAAAATTTTTGGGTGATAAATAATTTTGTGCTCACTGCAAAAGAATTTCTTTTTGTTTTCTTGCACCCCTCTACCTGGAAAAGAAAAGAATAACTAAATAAAATAGCCCCTGTGTCTGGTTAATATGAAAAACTACTTATAATTAGAAGAAACTACATAAATATTTTAGAGCTGGTAAAATTATTTCAAGAGTTATGCTTCATGAAGATGGTAAAAAAAGAAAAAAAAAAAACATGACCACAGCCTAAGAGCTGACTAAATTAAATGCAATTCTAAACTTTTTGACAGTCAGCTATTAGCAATGGAGCATTAAGTCCTGTCTGTGAGATCAAATGACTAGTTCCTAGAGTCTAATCACTGCAACAGTAAGGAACTTCTGATCTTTCAGAATTTCAAAGTCCAAAGTGGTAAAGTAATTTGCACTAAGTAAGAATCTACACACAACTGTCCAGTTGGGTTCATGGCTAATCAATGCTGTCTCTTCCAAAATGAATCAATACCTCAACACCATGTGGCACTACGGCATGATCATTACACAGGTGGAACAAATAGATGTGGTTATGTCTGATCATCCATTTCAAATTACATAAACACCACAACCTAATGCCTTATTTTGGTCATGATCTTTCAGCATCCTTCAAAAACACTCCTGGTTGTCATCTGCTGTGTACACTGATGCATGTGATCAAATCTGTTCAGAAGTCTGTATAAGCGCCAATATGATTCAATGATATAAAACCCAACAGAGTGTTCTGAACTTTAGGAGTTCATCACTGGTTTACATTTTTGTTATATAATAGACACATGTAATCTGCAAGAAGCCAAGCAAATTTCTTCCTTTTTCCCTATCAGGTTATATACCACAAAAGTTTTGGGAGCATGTGCATAAACCCAGCAGAGTAGGCACAGTTTATTGAGTGGTAACCAGTTCTAGGCTAGTTAGCTTTAAAGAACCTTGTGCTATGCAGGCAGCCTAATTCTACACACCCCTTCCCAGTCTTATTTGGGGTACTAGGGCAACCTACATAGTTTAATGTTCAATCTTCCCTTTAACCTTTTTTCATTCCACCTACCACACAAGAGCACTTTTTTAAAATCGACCTCTAAAAACCACAGCTCATTAAAGATGCAGCAAAGACAGATGAATTCATATTTATTTTCAATTATGCTACTTATAAAAATAATTCTTTTTTTTAAGATTTTATTTATTTATTTGAGAGAGAGAGAATGAGAGATAGAGAGCACGAGAGGGAAGAGGGTCAGAGGGAGAGGCAGACTCCCTGCTGAGCAGGGAGCGCAATGTAGGACTCGATCCTGGGACTCCAGGATCATGACCTGAGCCGAAGGCAGTCGCCTAACCAACTGAGCCACCCAGGCGCCCATACTTATAAAAGTAATTCTTAATAAAAATATCTTAAACAACTTATTTTTTAGCCCCATTTGGGAAAAAATGGCCTAAAAAGACCTTAGAAGACTACAGAATAAAATGTAAACCCCATACAGGCCAGTTAATGTGAACTGCAAGAATACAGTTTACTCCACTCATAAACTACACCTTAAACCAGCACTGTCCACCAGAACTTTCTGTGACAAAGTGGAAATGTTGTGTTTGTGCAATCTAAAACAGTAGCCAATGGCCATTTGTGGCTATTGACCACCTGAAATGCTATAAGTATAACTGAGGACCTAAATTTTTAATTTTAATCTATTTAAGTCTAAATGTAATTACCCACATATGGCTGGTGGCTACTGTTCAAACAGTAAGGCGAACTCAAAGCAAATTTTCATTATACCAAAACACCCACAAAGCACATATTTTACTAAGAGGCTGCCATGTAGCGCCACTCATATAAAGAGACAGGCATTCAGGTAGTTGTGAATTACTGCCCCTACCTTGAATACTTCTGCACAGCGACAAATATGAGAGAAAGAGAAGGAAACTCTTGTATGAAAGACCCTAGAATTATTTTTAAGAGCTAGAAAGTTCCCTAGAGATTATATAATCCGATCCCTTCATTTTAAAGTAAAGAAGATTGCACCACAAAAAGATTAAGTAGGAATCCACAAAGACATAAAGCTGGGACCAGCATGCAAATCTTCTGACTCAGTAGACCACCAAACCATAAAGAGACCATCCTACACTGGCTAAATCTACACTGATTACAAAACAAGAGCATGAAGAAAATGGCCAGGTAACCTGGGTTTTACTCAAAGATTTCTCTTTCTCTGTAAGAACAAGCAACTTCATTTCCCAGGTATTCTAGAATAGTATTTTAAACTGCCAGTTGGCTTTTCCTGAATTAATAGCATCAGGGGCCAAGAGAAAAAATTTCAGCAACTGTGTTTCTAGGTACCAACTACAAGGCTGACTATCCTTCTCTTCCACAGTCTGGGAAACAATCCATTTTCATTGTCCTGGAAATCATTAGCAGTATAAAGGATTCAAGGCAGAAAATAACAGGACAATGCCTTAAAAAATGGATGTATAAGGGAGCCTGGGTGGCTCAGTTGGTTAAGCGACTGCCTTCAGCTCAGGGCATGATCCTGGAGTCCCGGGATTGAGTCCCAGGATGGAGTCCCAGATAGAGAGTCCCGTGTCCGGCTCCCTGCTCAGCAGGGAGTCTGCTTCTCCCTCACCCTCCGCCTGCTGCTCTGCCTGCTTGTGCTCACTCTCTCTCTCTGTCAAATGAATAAATAAATGGACGTATATTTGTTCAAGGCTTTCTGGAAAACTGTTTTGATACTTTTAAATTAATGGAAATGAAACATAGACTGCTTTTAAAAATTCACTTGATGTGGGGATGAAGTGATTTTAATGAAAGAAGACCACAGCCCACTGAAAACATCTGGCCCTGTTCTCTGTCAACAAGTAATATTTAAGTCAAGGCTAGAGCCATTCCCTCAGTTTCAAATTAGGAAACCTCAAAAGTCGCACATTCTCTTCCAGGTCACGACATGCTGATGGAGACACTCGGTTTAAAAACGGAAACACTGGCCTCACTAGGGCTATCTGAAGGCCTACAAAAACTTGGGCCCTTTCATCTTGGTCCTTTCACCTTCCAACCCATTAGCAGGTGTGGCGCGCTCTCTGACCTTTGAATTCTGGCTCTGCCAATGACTGAGCAAGTTGTTGGCTTCACCAATCCTTCATTACCTTATCTGTAAAATGGAGATAGTGGTCCCTATCTTATCATGTGAAATGGAGACATATGTAAAAACCACTAGCACAGTGCTGGCATACAAATCGCACTCATTTGTTAGCTTCATTCCCGAGCCTCATGCCCTGGCTTTTCCTGTTCACATCCCCCAACATCCACCCCCACACCTAGAAAGTGTGAAAATTAGGAGAAATGTTTAACATGGGTAGATTTTTCCTTCTGATAACTGACAACCCTATTATTTGTATATGCATTATTTTATTATAAATTTATTGTTCTTTATATCTTATATATTGTGACTACAACATGCCAACTTCTACTATAGGCTCATAGACAATGCAGCCAGAGAGACAAATAAGCTGAAAAGTGAAAGGAAAAATTAGTTTGAAAAGAGTAAAAGCAAGTGTCAGAAGGGGTTAAGTGATAATCATTCCCACCTGAAACTAAACCCCATCCATGTTCTCTGCCAGTCGGAGCTATCACTTAGAACTTGAGTTAGTCACCATCTACATTCTAAACCTCTAAACCCAAAATGTTCACCCTTCCATGAAAATCTAGTGCACTCACTTCCTGAACTGCACACATTTCAGAGATAAAAAATATGTTTTCATCTTCATGGCCTTGGAATATGAGACTTTCAATATAGGCTTTTCTTCTTATTTAATGTTTTGGTGCACCCTAAGATAATAAAATCTCAGGCAGTTTAATTTTAGATCTATAATACATAATTTTTAAAAATGAAATTAATATTTCCATGGAAAATTTGCAAGCAAAAGTGATTTCTTTTATTCACACAAAATGTTCTTAATGCATCAACAGTAAGATAACCCAGTTTCATGCAGAAGACACTTTAAATAAAACCAATTAGGCTAGCTTTAGTAACAAGAAAGGACAGATTCTACTCCAAAGTAACAAACACATTCATGAGGAATCACTTAATTATAAGTAACCAAACATCATCTTTCTCTCCTTTCTAAAATATCACAATGAGAAGTATGATAAAGTTTTAAATCTGTAGGTCAGTACAGTCATAAATATTTTTTACACTCATAAATATTTTAATTCTAGTTGTACTTCAAAATGCTGCTACAGAAGGAATTTGCTTATAAAAATTTCTTGTTTAATAGCAATTAGTGGTTCCTAACCCTTTAGGGATCACAGACTCCCTTGAGAATCTTGTATTCATAACACCTGTGGGGCACTTCACTTAAAAATATACATACATTCAAAAGTCTGCGTGAGACTTTAAGGCTTCCTGCTCCATCTCCCAAGCCTATTCACATGGAGGAAGAACCTCTGCAATAGGAGAAAACTGGTGAAATCACCAACATTGAAAAAAGTTCAAATTTAGGAATGATTCCCAATAAGTAATATTTTACTGGTTCACGATTTGCTCTTGTAACTAAAAATTTGGGAGTGGTGGTAGAAGATTCGAAAAAGAACTGAGAGAAGTGAAAACATAAGAGTAATTTTCATAGAAAATTAAAGAATGACTTGGGTCATCTCTCAATGAGGACATTTCTGCCTAGTTTTTTTAAAAAAGAGAGAAAGGAAGGGGGGAGGAGGGAGTGAAAGAGAGGGAAAGGAGAGGGGGACAAATTTGAGGGAGACAAGAACAAACTCAGAGAAAGAAAACACATCCATTTACTCAGTCTTTCTTGGTCAAGAGCATTCATGACAAAAGTGTGAGGCTATAGACTACAACAGAAAATGGATGGACTCCAAGTACATATTTGGTCCACTACAGACAGAAGAGACACACTCTGACCTTTAAGTTCAAACATGGCAAACACTCCTACTTGGCAAACTATTAGTCAATGTTTTACTTCAAGATTGCATTATTTCAGCAACTGATCACAACATGCAGGGCAGGCAATCCTGGCCTACCAGCCACTTCTGAATCTGTCCCCATTTCCGATCAAAGGAATAATGAGAGTGCTACAAATGCAAAAGTTTCATCAACTGAAGTTTCCAACATACTGCATGATCTGAAAAGTCTTAAATTAATCCTATACATTTGCCCTGAAGAGCAGTGATCGTTAGCTCAACATAAGTTACACATTCAAAATACAGATAATTACTAAGCTAAATATGCTCAACAATGAAGAGATATATGGCTTTCTGCAATTTAGAGGAAACGGAATTTATACTTAGCAACAATCTTCTTATAATTTTACTATAATTTTAGGAGTATAAAAGACAGTGCATTGCAACACTTTCAATTTAAGCCAAGAATTGCATTCAATATTTGAAACTATATATGAGATCAAAAACAAAAATAGCAACATAGATATCAACTGTTTTGTGGTTTAGTTTTTGAGCTGTGAATAAAATCTATACAGTTCTCTTCAACACATTAGCAGCAGTCCACCACCAACACCAAAATAAAGTGTTTAATACTATTAATAATATCCTGCAGGCTTTTTCCCCTTTATACCAATATGGCATCAGAAATATTTTTTATGTGAATTTTCAGAGTCAGGTTGATGTCAGAAGGAAAGAGTTAAAAAGAGTATTTATTTCATTTTAAAGCAGCCCAATTTCTATATGCCTATTTTATTTTTCTATTTTTTGCTTTTCTTTCTGACGATAAAAATGTATTGAAATTTATCTACAAAAAAGCACGAAGAAAAAACAAAACTAATCAATTCCACCACTGACAAACCAAAGTATTAATAGTAATCATTTCTAAGTAGTTTTGGTCCCTATATATGATACTAGTTTTTTAACACACAATGGGAGTCCTACCAGTCTTAACAACTGTTGTTTTTTTAATTTTCTTGCATGAATATCTTCCTCCATTATTAAATATGCTTCAAAACTGTAAGGTTGAATGACTTCACAGTGTTTTACTATGTAGATATAATAATATAATTAACCTAAACTCTAAGACAGTTAGGACTATAGTAAATAACTTTGTCATCTCTAAGCTGACTTTAGCTAATATAAGTAAAGCACTCATCACACCATAACAACTTGCTACAATGCATACAGTAAGAGCTATTTATGTGTTTGCTGTTATTATTTAAAGCAAATATTTAATTTGCTGACATGGAATGGCTTGTTAAAATATACACATCAGGTTATACTATTCCCAGTGTTTCAACAGGAACCAGATTTATTTCAGAAGGAAACTAGCCAAGTATTAATTTATTTGAGACTAGCACAGAATGAAGATCATCCCCCCCAGATTACCTCTTTTTGTTGTCGCTCCAGTTCTCTCATGCGAATATCCCTCGCTTCTGCCCGGGCAGCCCGTTTTGCTGCCAGCCTTGCCTCTGCCTGAAATGTAATATTAAGATTCAGCTTTATTTACGAACAACAAATAACAACCTGCACACCAGCTGCGAGGGTAAGGAGCAGATGGGACACGACCGTCCATAGCAGGTGGGCGGACAAGATACCCTCTCGCTCAGCTGTGTGACCGCCTCAGTCAGCTCCTGTACACTCGTTTCTTTGTTCTAGCCCAGAGGCTCTCCTGAAATCTGTGCCTTTATTTTTAACTGCTTGCCTTGATTCCACATTCAAAACATTTCACACAATTCATTATGTCTCTGCAAACTCACTTTTTCCAAAATTTCTTTCCCTATCAAAATTCAGTCATACAAATTAGAAACTTCAGAACCAGCCTCTATTTCATTTTGGACATTGCCAATATCCAGTCTTAAAGTACTGCCAATTCTCTACCGCTGGGTTTCTCTCACCCCCACGGCCATTATGCTGTTTCTGTTTCAGGAACTCTTCATATCTTTCTCATTTTAAACTGGCATGCAAATCACATACCATCAAATTCACCACTTCCAACTAGACAATCTGGTGGCTTTCGGTACTACAGTCACAAGTTTGCACAACTACCACTACCATCATCTGTTCCTCACCATGCCCGTTAGTAGGCACCCCTCATTCCACCTCCTCCCAGCTCCTGGAAACCACTAATGGTACTTCCTGTCTCTACGAATTTGCCCATTCTCGAAATTTCGTATCAGTGAAATTACACAATAGGAACTCTTCATCTCGTTTGAACACTACAACTGCAACTGCCTTCAAACAACTGCAACTGCCTTCAAATTCACCTACCTGCCTCCAGAAGCTGCCCTATAATTCCCTTCTACAATGTTACAGGATTGCCAATCTGCCTTTCAAAACACATTTCTGATCATATCAGTAAGCGGTGTAAAGCCCTCCCCTGGCTCCCCATTACTTCTGGTTAAAGCAAAATTCCACAGACTAGTACAAAGACAAGAGAGAGAGAAGAAAAGCAGAAACAGAAATAAGGTTCCTCCCAGTCAGATCTCCCCCTTATTTCCCAGGACTTGCTCCATATGAACAGCTGCTGGCCACCTCCCTCCATCCAGGACTTCACGGTGCTCCATTAAGCCTCACTTCAGCTCAGGTAACGATCTCAGGGTCATGAGATGGAGCCCCACATTGGGCTCCATGCTCAGCAGAGTCTGCTTAAGATTCTCTCTCTCTCCATCTCCCTTTGCCCCTCCCTGTGCCCACTTGTGTGCACACTCTCTCTCTCAAAAAATATTAAGAAATACAAAACAAAATTACATGCTTCTGTCACCCCCACAACGTCCATGTCTCAACAGATGTCTGCTAAATAAATAGAAGAATTTCAGGCCATGGACCAACGCATCTAGGAAATGAGACAAGGAAAAAGCTTGATGTACCACATGAAACTTAAAAATCTCCTCAGTGATTTCTATCTTGCAGTGGTTTCCTCTGTTCTCAGCCACATCCTAACTCTGATTCAGATTGCCCCCTGATAACTACAATAGCTGCTTTTCCTGTGGTGGTGTATTTGTGCCCAAGTCTCACATTAAGAGACTCAGCCAATGTTTAAAAGGGTCTATTGTACGGAAGCAATTATGTTCAGTGCTGAAAATACAGGGTAAGATGTGACATCTCCGCCCCAAAGAAGTCCTCAATCTAGTTGAAGGACATGGAAACACAATGCTAAGGGGAGGAGCATGAAGTAGAGAGCAATTCGTTTTCCCTGGCAAGATCCTGGCAGGCTTCTAAGAAGAGGAGACAGCTTAAGAGTTAACACTTATTCAACTACCCCAATTTTGGCACTTTCCCAGTATGCCTCGCTGGCCTTTTAGTAGCACAAACCCTAAACATGTATCTGCCAACCTCAAGCTCTAAACAATAACATGACCAGAGCAATTAATCTTCTCACATGAATTTTTCATTGGCCTCTATCTTTTAAAAAAGCTATTCTTACCTTCTTTACCCCTCTGACTACTGGTAGACACCACTTTCTTACTAGAGTTCGTATTTTATAGAAAAATACTTCAAGGTTAAGTTCAGCAGATAGCAAATACATTTTTAAATTACAAAGTATCATTTTTCTGGGGAAAATTTTCAAACTTTTTTTTTTTTTAATCTCAGCAAAGCCATGGCAATGTGTAGGGATTGTCATTTCCATGTTACTAGCTTTGTACTTGTAGCCTTCTTTAGAAATGTATTCAGGATGCCCATTTCATCCTTCCAAGATCGATGGCCAATTCTGTACAATTTATGCTAAAATAGATCACCAGTTTTCTCTCACCAAACCTAAATTACAGATAAATGAAATCTACTCTCTGATAAGATTTCTTTCACAACAAAAGGAAAGGGAACCTGGCTGCTGTGTAACAGAAAGAACACGGGCTTCAGAGCCACAAAAATACCCTTCCCTTTGTTCCTTAGCCAACTTTATCCAAACTCAGATATGCCTCCCTTGGAGATGGTACTGAAGAAGGCCACTAAACAAGCTTAAAAAAGGTAAACAGGATCTAAAAATACTTTATCTTGGGGCGCCTGGGTGGCTCAGTCATTAAGCATCTGCCTTCAGCTCAGGTCATGGTCCCAGGGTCCTGGGATCGAGGCCCACATGGGGCTCCCTGCTCCGCGGGAAGCCTGCTTCTCCCTCTCCCACTCCCCCTGCTTGTGTTCCCTCTCTCACTCTCTTTCTGTCAAATAAAATCCTAAAAAAATAATAAAAATAAAAGTACTTCATCTTAGTATTTTTCTACACATTGCTACCAGATGCCTGAAGCAGTACTGAGAGTAGGAGTAGCAAAAAGCAAAAGGTGATTCCAATCTAGTAGACAAAACATGGTACTCTATACTTGTACCAATGCATTTTTAAATAGATAAATTATAGGTACATAAAGCATACTTCCAGGTAGTATCTTCCCTCAGAATACAACTGCATGATTTCTACACATTCATTTTACACATAGATATAAAATAAATGAGACATAAGAAAAAAGGATCACAAAAATTAAAGAAGTTTAAAAACAAAGTTGGCAAAAAAAAAAAGTTAAACATAGAATCACCATTTGATCTGGTAATTCCATTTCTGGGTACATACACAAAAGAACTGAAAGCAGAGACTCAAACAGATATCTGTATACCAATGTTCAAAGCAGCCTTACCCATAATGGCCAAAAAGTAGAAACAACCCAGTGTCCATCAATGGATGAATAAACAAAATGTGTTATATCCATACAGTGGAATATGATCCAGGAGGGAAGGAAACTCTGACACATGCTAAAACATGGATGAATCTTGAAAACATTATGTTAAGTGAAACAAGCCAGACACGAAAGTACAAATATTGTATGATTCTACATATTTGACGTACCTAGAATAATCAAATGGCCTGGGCACAGAAAGTTGAACAGTGGTTCTGAGGGGCTGGAGGGAAGGGAGAAATGGGGAATTTTTATCAATGCGTACACAGTTTCAGTATAGGATGATGACAAAGTTCTGAAGATGGAGAATAGTGCTGGATGCACAACAATGTAAATGTACTCAATGCCACTGAATTGTATACTTAAAGATGATTAAAATGGCAAATTATGTTATGTATTTTACCACAAAAAAAGTTAAAGTTACCATAAGACATGAAATCAGAATTATTCAGGAGCCTAATTCATTTAAGTATTTGTAGAGTCTTTAAGCTCTATATGACTCACACTTTTAAAATAAAGTTAATAGGAAAATTTAGGAACTGGAAATTCAGGTTCAGAAGTTACTTGTGAAATCAAGTAGGTCAATGGACTAGGTTTCTAAAAATTTTTCTCATCATTATGCTTTCAAATATTAGGCACAGTAAGAATGACTAAAGGAAATATGTAATCATATAAGTATAGAAATCTATTCTTCTGGGCGCCTGGGTGGCTCAGTTGGTTAAGTGACTGCCTTCGGCTCAGGTCATGATCCCGGAGTCCCGGGATCGAGTCCCACATCGGGCTCCCTGCTCGGCGGGGAGTCTGCTTCTCCCTCTGACCCTCTTCCCTCTTTTGCTCTCTATCTCTCATTCTCTCTCTCTAATAAATAAATAAAATCTTTAAAAAAAAAAAAAAGAAATCTATTCTTCTTAGAACAGTGAAAATGATAAAACAAAAAGCAAAGATATATTTGAATAGAATTAAATCCATTTCCCACTAAATGCTTGGGGAAATGGAAAAATAAAATGATAGCAAAAATCATGGGACTTGATCCCCCCCTGGAACCAATTGCTTTAGGTTGTATTAATTCAGAAACCTTCTAAATTTGTTGGCTGTTCACTTCGCAACTCAACTAATTAATTAGGAATCATACAATCATAACTAAGAACTTCTAAGGGCACCTGGGTGACTCAGTCGGTTGGGCGCTGGACTCTTGGTTTCACTCAGGTCATGATCTCAGGGTCCTGGGATCAAGCCCCCACGTGAAGCTCCCCACTCAGAGTAGAGTCTGCTTGAAGATTCTGTCCCTCTACCCCTCCCTCCACTTGCACGTGCATCCACACACACACATTCTCTCTCCCTCTCTCAAATAAGTAAATAAATCTTAAAAAAAAAAAAAAAAGGAAACGAAAGAGATAAAGAAAAGAACTTCAGGGGGGTGCTGGGTGGCTCAGTTGGTTAAGCATCCAACTCTTGATACTCTTGATTTCAGCTAAGGTCATAATCTCAGGGTTGTGAGATCGAGCCCAAAAACCAGCTCCACACTGAGCTTGGAGCCTGCTTAAGATTCTCTCTTCCTCTCCCTCTGCCCCTCCCTGGCTCATGCTTGCTCTCTCTCAATCTCTCTCTCAAATAAAAAAATTTAAAAAATTCTGGGGGCGCCTGGGTGGCTCAGTCGGTTAAGCGTCTGCCTTCAGTTCGGGCTGTGATCTCAGGGGCCTGGGAGAGAGCCCCACATTAGGCTCCCTGCTCAGTGGGGAGTCTGCTTCTCCCACTCCCTCTGCCCCTCCCCCCGCTTGCACTCTCTCTCCCTCTTAAAAACTTCTAAAAATT